TTTGCTTGCATCGCATTAAAGGTAGGACCGGCCCTGACTAATACTTAATTTCATATTTTAAGTGAATTAATTTGTCATATCTTGTTCATATGTGTATCATTCAATCTGCCATACATATACTGTGGTGTGGCCTTGATTCGATCAGTAGACCACACGGATGGCTGGTATTCGTGGACTGTATATGGAAACTAAAAACGTTCTTCTTCTATGATAATAACAAACTAATAAATGACCTCACTTTGGCCAATAAAAGGAAACTCAACAAAACTTCTAAACTCGACTGACTCGGAAGGAAACTCGAAACTGAACCAAAGAAAGAAAGCAAGCTGTAAGCGTACTGATAACGCACTGGTGGTCGAATTGAATACGGAACTAGATAGCATCCGAACTGAAAATGCACTGGAAGCGAAGTGAACTGGAAATCAACTCAAATAGAAAGAATAGACCACGTGTCGGAAGTCATAGGTCAAAGTTTTGGAAGGAAAGAGACAGGTAGTCTGGATTAGAAAGGAACAAATCGGTTGACATATTGTAACCCCGAGATGGCGACTATATTATTATTATCGACGCATGTAATAGTCAGTGGCGTCACCATACTGTATTTTATATTATTTTAATTTCTGGCACATCTCAGCTGCTTTTCGGCAATAATTATGTAGACATTTCGTTTATCTTATTCATAATCATAAATTTATTATACATATTCTAACATTGGTTAGGTTCATAAGTAAATTGAAATTTTTGGCAGATGATAGTTTTCATTTGTTTTCAATGCAAACGATGACATGTCGTATTTGGCAATTTTTTTTTATTTATTTCTACAATATTGCACATACATCCCAGTACTTTATAATCGCATACATCCTAGAAATTTTTCTTAAGAAACTTCAGAAAGATTTACCAAAATCCGAATAATAGTTTAGGAGGAGTATACAATGAATGCTTGTAATTTAATATGAACTTTATATTAGGTTGTCAAATATCTCCCTTCCGCCTTTTTGTATTATAAACCAAGAGCAAAAAAGCGGAAGGGAGATATTTGACAACCTAATATAATAGCAATAAAGCTCAAATTGATTCAACGTTTTAGTTAGAAAACGTATGTGAAAAAGAAAAGGGCTATTTTTAGGGTTTTCTCGGCAATTATTCGATTTTTTCTCGTTGTAAGAACTATCCTTGTACTTCAACGAGCATTTTAAAAAATAATTGGCCAAATTGGTCCAGGCGTTGTTGAGTTATGCGCTTACCAACACATTTTGCGATTCATTTTTATATATAAAATATTAAAGCGATTTTTTAAGCCTTTGAAGCAGACTCTCTCCTTAATCTAAGACTTTACCTTAACTTTACCAAGAACAGTTAAAATTAATCATTTATCACAATCGTAATTTTTATATTTTCAGCTCTAAAAAAATCCTACGTAGACGTATTCAATCCTGGAGGCGGTGCAGGTTCCACGAGCTCACCAAATCCTGGACCATCGCCTCAACTGATGCCTGCAGCAGGACCTGTACCTGCCGGAGGCTACTTTGTACCTTCTCCTATTCTCGCTTCACCTCAGGATAACAATTCACAACAGGTGGAAAAAAATACATAAGAAATCGACTCTGCCGGATAACAGACAAATGTTATGGCAAGGCCATGTTACACTCCAATTTGCATACATTATAGTAATAAATCATATTGAGTACAGTCAAAATGTCATGTATTTACTGTGCATTCAGTCGTTTTACACATGAACTGCAAGGTTACTCATATGTTATGAAGCTGGGTTAGAAAGACCCTGTTATCTAACTATTATGCGGTTTCTACGTCATGTTTTTTATTCAACAACCTGAGAAATACGTCTGAATACACACTAACCACATGGTTTTTGTCAACATTTAGTATAGAAAGTTCTTCATAACATAGCCTTGCCATAACATTTGTTAACTGTTATGCGGCAGAATTGGTCCCTAAATGGATTTATATTGTTTTTTTAACTTCCCGTAGGGTAAGTTATTGTAATGGGCCGAAAATCGAAATTGAACATTTTTACATTTCTCGACATTTTGAAGGTTTCTGAACATTTTGGCATACCTCAGAAAAAAATTGTGTGTGTGTGTGTGTGTGTGTGTATGTATGAATACAAATTTCCAGTCACGTTTTCGGGCGCACGGATCAACCGATTTGAATGGTTCAAAAAACATTCGATTCCTATTGATAGGGAGATGTGCTGATTAATTTTTGGCAAAGGCAGGTCCAGCCGTTTCGAAGATACGGAGCTAAATATGTAAAAAATGGCAGTTTTTGAGAGAACTAAGCGTTCGATTCAATTGATTCAAAGAACTTTCTGCTTGTCTTAACAAAATAATTGATTTTGGAAAAAAAAATTTGTTTCAACTTTTTTCTTTTTTTTAGTTTTTTTGTATATCGAAATTAATTCAGATTTTATTTTTAATTCTGACTATAGTTCTAATATACTTTAAACGAATAATTTCAACTTTGCAATTCAGTTTATATAATTCTTATAAATATTAGACAATGTTACAATATTTATAATGATCTATTTGAAAACATTCAGTATTCTTCGAACATTTCGTTACGGGAAGTTCCAGCAGTTTGCCTTAAGGCACGATGCCACCCACCCCACTAGTTTTTTTATTTAATGGCTTTTGATATACATCATAAGGCCAGATGCCATTCATATAATTGTTTACTACAAATTCTTATTGGATAATTAACTTATAAATTAATTTTAATATTATTAATAAACTTAAATATATATATATATATATATATATAAATTTTTAAATTATTACTAGCTACTAGTGTTTGTACATTGATTGGGAAAATAACATTTTCTTTGAGTAAATTTATTATTAATGATTCTCTTTTGTTTTGGAATAAGATTTATATTGTTCAATATATCATTTAAAATCTTTTTTCAGGGAGGTGTTCCAACATTTTACGATCCAACAAAACAGTTTCACTGACAGACCAACAGGTATTTTTCGGTTTTAAATTTCAATTTATTTTGAACGGATAGAAAAGGAAACAAATACAAAACATATGCATACGATGGAGTGTTGTCGTGTGAGGATAATTTGTGATTTGTACTGAATAAGTATTAGATTGATTACGTTGTAATATAATACACACACAATATATATATATATATATATATATATATATATATATATATTATAAACACATAGTACTTTTTTCAACTTTATTAATTAAAATATTATTTTACAGATGGAAAAGTTTAATTTATAAGTTAGAAAAAATAATTTTCAACTTTGGTAAACATTTAATGAAATAAAAATAATGTATTTCTTAATAAATATTATATATTTGTTCACTAAATTTTTATTGAAGTTGACAATTTTAAGATGTTTATTAATTGTTTTCAAAACGTTTGCAAAAGTAACAATTTTATATGTGTCAAATATTTTTAATTATATATATATATATATATATATATATGTATATATATATATATATATATATATATATATATGTTTATGCATATATTAGAATAATGTATTTAAAAAAATGTGTTATGTGCAATATGTGTACTATGTCCTAATTATTCTATCCCCTTCGTAAATATATATATATATATATATATATATATATATATATATATATACTCAACCTTTACCCCTTTGTATATAGAGCACTCATTAATGTTTTAAATGATGTAAATACACAACCAATTCTAATTTTACAAGACACTTTTATAGTTATTACGAGTCTTTTTTAGTAGCAGCAATTTTGTCATCGATATAATGTGTAACTATTGCATTATATAAATATTGATACTATATTATATTGTATATTATGGGATGGAATAAATATGAAGTTAATAAATGTGATTTGTTTGATATTGTAAAAATGACTGAGAAATAGAGTTACGTTTTAGGACTTATTTAAAACAATTAATTGTGTAGAGTAATATGAGTTATGTATAATGGAAATTAAACATGCATAAATGTAGTAAAAAACTAGATATGAGTGGAATTTTGCCTTCGTGCATCATGAAGTTTAAATCCATATATTAATTTATGAGTGACTTATAAGACCGAGATGTTGTAGATCATTATTATGTGAGAAATTTGTGAGATTGTTACATTTTGTGCAAATTTTCCAAACGTACTAGTCATTTTTGACAAATTGTTTAAATGTTATAAATTATTCAACAAAAAACGATCAAGCCCTGGTTACATAAATTCGGAATACTTTTTTATATTTTTTTAAATTACTCAAAAACTTTGTATCAGGCACTATTTTTTATTTAGTTCAGCAGAAATTAGATAAAATTTACTACTGTTTTAAATAAACTGTGTTATACACTTTAATACAAAATTTTGGAATAGTTTGAACTAACCCTAACGTTTTTTGCGTATTTGAAATACATGAATTTGGGACATTTTTTTTAAATAATTCAAAAATTTTATATGGAGCACTTTTTTATGGTTGGCTTAATAAAAACTAGATATAAATTTACTACAATTTCATAAGCACAGTTTACAAATAAATCACTTCTCATAGGCCTTTAATATTTTGAACTTTGACTTCAATTTTTTTTAGAAATGCACCCAAGCAAGCTTAAAGTATAGAAAAATAAATGAAGATCTTTCTAGTTTTGGGTATTTTTATATTTAGTTCGCGCCACTTTTTAAGAAAAATTTTAGTTAACGGTTTAGTCCTTTTTTAAGACAAAATTCATTTGAATATTTTTGTTACGGTTCGGCAAAGTTTGAAAATTAAAAAACTAAAACAAAATTAAATTTAAATTAAACTGAAAATTAAAAAAACAAATGCATCGAAATGTCAAAATGTAGTCGCAATATATGATTTTATTCTATTTACAAGGGCGTACAAATTGTTCGTGAGTGCAGAATCAATTTGTACTTTGAATAATTCAATTTTGGCGCCGTTTTGTGTCCCCAATATGGCGCTCGGTTGACAGTGACAAGTGACAAGCTTCATTCGGTCAATCAGTCTCTCGCAGCAAGGGAAAAGCCTAAAAGGTATATTTTCAGCTTATTCTGAAAATAAAACGATTGAGAGTCCCGTCGCTTACCTGTGATATTAATTAGTGTAATACGGAACATTCTTATTAATTGGCAAGTCAGCAAATACATTCGTAACCGCTGTCGGACTATTCTACTTGGAACCACGTGCGAGGTTATGTTAACCTATAGTTAGTTAAGTTTTAATGCCAGAAATATGGCACAGCAAAAAATTGTGCCCTGTAACGTGGTTGCTGTCTATCAACCTTATCTTCAAAGGAATGTCGATGTTCTGGGGGATGCTTTTACATGGTACATATCTTTAATCCATAAGCCATATGTAGCCCCTGCGGAGCCCCAAGTTGTCGAAGAGGAAAAGGACGATTTGTCGGAACAAGAGATAGTGTTTGAAGATGATGTCGATTATTTGCGAAGCCTGGACCCTAAAGAATGGAAAGATCAAGACCACTATGCCGTTTTAGGTATCAAAAACCTTAGGATAAAAGCCACCGATGATATTATCAAACGCGCTTACAGGAAAAAAGTATTAAAACACCACCCCGACAAACGGAAGGGTCAAGGTGAAGAAATCAGGCCGGACGATGATTATTTCACTTGCATTACTCGGGCTTATGAAATCTTAGGCACTCCAATCAAACGTAGATCCTACGACTCTGTAGATCCTGAATTCGACGACTCTCTCCCTACGGCTAGTGAAATTAAACAGGACTTCTACAAAGTCTTCAACAAGTATTTCAAATTAAACGCTAGATGGTCCGAGAAGAAAAATGTACCACCATTAGGTAATGCTAATACAAGCAGACAAGAAGTGGAGAAGTTTTATTCGTTTTGGTATAATTTTGAATCTTGGAGGGAATTTTCTTACAATGATGAGGAAGAGAAGGAGCGTGGACAGGATCGAGAGGAGAGGCGGTGGATTGAGAAACAAAACAAAGCTGTGAGGGCGAAGAAAAAGAAGGAGGAGATGGCCAGGATACGATCTCTGGTCGATATGGCTTATAATAATGATCCGAGGATAGCTAAGTTTAAACAGGAGGAGAAGGATAGGAAATTGGCTGCTAAACGAGCAAAACAGGTAAAGAATAGAAATTTTATATATATATATATATATATATATATATATATATATATATATATATATATATATATATTTAATACATAAAGTTTTTCATATATTTAGAGTCCCAGTTAGACTCTACTTTAATGGACAAGTATATGAATACAAATAACATAATATACAAATATATAAAATTTATTTATTTATCTAACATGACTCTGTATCAAGAAAAAAATATATATTAAACAATTATAACTAAATGTAAATATAAATAATAGAAATGAAAATAAAATGCAAGAAACTGATCACACAAATTAGAAGCAATAAACAAACATCTTGTATATAACAATCATTAATTTAACTAACTAATCAAATAATAATAAAACCAAGAATGTTTATTTTTGAATGTTATTTATTTTTTCATATCAAGTATATAATTTGTTTAATATGTTATTTGTTTTAAATAATTTGTGAGATAAGTTTACCATATTTAATTATTTTTTTTAGTAATATTATCTATTTTATAAATTACCTTTTGCTTGTCAGCAGGGATTTTTCTTCCAAACAATTTTTACTAATATTTTTTCTAGTCAGTAGAGTTCTTTTTTTTACTCTTATATTAATCTCTTATTAATCTCTCAAAGTCTCTTTATTGAACTATATTTATTAATATTTTATCTTGGAGTCCTTCTTTTTAAATTATTTTTGCTGGTCGTTGGAGTCCCTTTTTGAACTATTTTATATTGATGTTTTTTCTTGGATTCCTTTTTTTTAATCATTTTTGATAGTTTGCTTGTCAGTAGAGTCTCTTTTTGAATTATTTTTTATTATTTTTTATCATTAGCAGTCATCTATCTTTTTATTGAAATTTTTGCTCATCAGTAGAGTCCTTTTTTGAATTATTTTTGATCGTTAGCAGAGTTTTCTATTTATTTACTTTTATTAATATTCTTGAGAACAATTGAGTATCATTTTTGATATTTTTGATCGTCTGTAGAGTCTCTTTTTTATCTTCTTTATTGATATTTTATTTTTGCTCATCAATAGTCCCTTTTTGGACTATTTTTTCTTTTTTTTGCTTGAAGTCGTTTTTTTTTAATCCATTTTTGTATTATTTTTTATTGTCAGTAGAGTCCCTCTTTTTTAAAATATTTTTAGTAATATTCTTAAGATCAGTAGAGTCCCTTCTTTGAAATATTTTTGATATTCTTGCTCGTCAGTACAGCCCTTTTTTGAATTATTTTTAGTAATGTTTTTGATCGTCAGTAGAGTTCTTTTGTTATTCTTACATTAATATTTTTGCTCGTCAGTATAGTCTCTTTTTTGAACTATTTTTTTTAATTATATATTTTGCTTGGGGTCGTTTTTTTTTTAAATTATTTTTGATATTTTTGCTCGTCAGTAGAGTCCCTTTTTAGTACTATTTTTGATATTTTTGCTTGGAGTCCATTTTTTAAAATTATTTTTGATATTTTTGTCAGTAGAGTCTATTTGTAGTACTATTTTTATTGATATTTTTGCTTGGTGTCCCATTTTTATTTATTATTTATATTTTCGCTCGCCAGTAGAGTCCTTTTTTATCTTTTTATTGTTATTTTTGATCGTCAGTAGAGTCCATTTGTCTTTTTTCTTGATATTTTCGATCATTAGCACAGTCCCTTTTTTCAATTTACTTTTATTAATATTTTTGTTCGACAGTAGAGTCCCTTTTTTATCTTTTTTCTTGATATTTTGGCTCGTTATCACAGTCTCTTTTTTCTATTCGTTTTTTATCATTTTTGCTCGTCAGTAGAGTCACTTTTTATTGTTTTCATAGAAGATATTTTCAAAGAAGCACAGTCTCCTTTTTCAATTCATTTTTTTTCAATATTCTCGTTCTCAAATACTTAATTACAGCATCTATTTTCTGCACTTTTTGCCCCTTATCTCCGTAACGGCTGGACCTGCCTTTGTCAAAAACTAATCAGCACATCTCCCTATCAATAGCAATCGAATTGTTTTTGTGGACGAAAAATTGTATCCGTGCATACATACACACATCCATTTTTTCTAAGGCCAAAACCATCTGAAACGTAAAGATATTTAAAAAATTTTAATTTCGATTTTTGGGCGATTGCAATAATTTAGGAGTCCATTAATTTTTGGGGTAAGGGAGGGGGTTGACTAATTATTGTGAAATATCACGAGGGAGAGGGAGGGGTATAGTAAGATATCATCTGTATTCATTTTTTACCTGAATTTAAAAAAATCTAAGCATTTTCAGAAAAATACAATTTTTCTCTAATTCTAAATATCACCACTTATCACCAAGGGGCAGGGGGGGTCCAAAAATACTTTAAAAAAATCGGTCACGTGATTGATGGACGCCCGCTAAGGTCCTTCAATTCTAACTCCGCTTGAGTAAGTTTTGCTTATTTATTTTTAAAATAAGATTTTATAATCTGTCTATAGAATAATAATGGAAGTTAATTTTTATAGTAAATTTTTTGAATATTTCATTACTATAAGGGAAGTTCCAGCAATTGGCATGATGCCATACACCACTAGTTTTTAATAATTTGTTTGTTCGTTTTCCGTTTTGATAATTTTGTGTTCTAAAAAAAAATAAAAATAGCGAATCTGATTTTCAGACAAAAACATTTCTGAACTTTTCCAAAAATCCCCAAAGAATCGATCACGTGATTAATAAGGTCCTTCAATTCTAACTCCGCTTGTTTAAGTTTTGTTTATTTACTTTTACAAGTAAGATCTTATGATCTGTCTATTCAATATAAATAATTGAAGTTAATTTTTTTATAATAATATTCTTGAATATTTCATTACTATAAGGGAAGCTCCAACAATTTCTCTTAAGGCACGATGCCATTTTTCACTAGTTTTTTTACTAATTTGTGTGGTAAGTTTTTTATAATTGATTAAATTATTATTTTGTTTATTTGTTTTTCGTTCTGATAATTTTGTTTTCTAAAAAAATATAAAATTACAAAGTCAGATTTTCAGATGAAAACATCAATTTCTCTAACAATTTTCATTGATATTTTTGCTTGGAGTCTCTTTTTTGAATTAATTTTAGTATTATTTTTGTTCGTTAATAGTCCCTTTTTTTAACTATTTTAATTTTTGCTTGGAGTCTCTTTTTCTTAAATTATTTTTGATATTTTTGCTTTGCTTCGGTAAATTTATAAAACTCTTAACGTATAAGTGTGATTCTTACTTCTCCCCCAGGATGCTGCCCAGGCCAGAAAGGATGAAGAAGAGAGGTTGCTCAAGGAGGCCCAACTGGCCAAAGACAGGGCCGAAGCGGCGGAGCGCTCCCGAATCGACGCCATCCGTATGGAGAGAGAGGCCCAAAAGCGAGCCCTCAAAAAGGAACGCAAAACGTTCAGGGATCTATGCAAATCCAACGACTACTACTCGACAGACCCCAATGAAAAAATCGAACACATGGCCTCCGTAGAAAAAATATGCGAGATGCTCAAAACATTGGAACTACAAAATCTCACTAAAGAAATCACAGCCAAAGGGAGAAAGGAATTTATCAAAGCTGCTAAAGATGTCGAGGAAAAACTGGAGGCTGAGAGGAAGGCTCTGTTTGAACCTGCTGCTCCTAAACAAGCGACAACAAACGGTAAGTCTTCGAATGCTGTTTTGGAATGGAATTTGGATTTGGTGCAAATGCTCATCAAGGCTGTGAATTTGTTCCCTGCTGGCACGAATCAACGTTGGGAAGTTATAGCTAATTTTTTGAATCAACACGCGCCCCAAAACAATATCAAAGTAACTGCAAAAGACGTGTTGAATAAAGCCAAGTCTCTGCAGAACACCGATTTTAGTAAAAACACTTTAAAAACAATGGCGAACGAAGCTGCTTTTGACAGTTTTGAAAAGGATAAAAAGAACGCCAGGGTTACTGATGACACCACAATAAGCGTTAAAACTGATGAGACCAAAGTACAAACAAACGGTAAAGTACCCAACGGTGTCTCAACACCTATTATAGAAAATGTAAAGAAAACCACTAGCACAAATATGCAAAATGGCATCAAAGCTCCTGAAGACAAAAAAGAAACCTCCACCTCCACCACCAAACCTTGGTCCAAACTAGAACAAGAACTTTTAGAACAAGCTATAAAAACTTACCCCAACACCACCCCCGATCGATGGGACAAAATCGCTGAATGCATCCCTGACCGCAACAAAAAAGAATGTATGAGAAGGTTTAAAGAGCTCGTGGACATGATCAAGGCCAAAAAGCAAGCCCAACAACTAAACGGTAAATCTTAGCCCAAAGAATATAAATTTTATAATATTTTCAATCTGTACTAAATCACAATTTTTTATTCTTGTGACTATTTTATACAAATTTTGTACAATTTATTTTTCTGACATTGTTTTATTTTGTACATAAATATATCACGATGCAAACAAACACAATATTTGATAAATTTTAAAGATTTTATTGAATATTAAATAATAGTTACTGCTAGTAATTATTGATAGAAAATCTGTATAAAATATTTATGTTGTACTTATATATGATTAGCGTTAATAGTAATTGTGTGAAACTGTTACAAGAATTTTGTAAGGATATTCTTTGATTTTATTATTATGATTATGAGTAATTTAGTAATATGAAATTTACTGAAACATTTGATCAATTGAAATTGTAAATATTGTTGAAACAAATAAACAAGACCGCCAAAGTAGTGTATGGTTTGAAAAAAAAACTTACGCATTTTATACTATATTTGTAAACAGTCTTATACTAAAACAGCTTTCAGTTAAAATAGTCCAGTCATTTGGTCGTTTTGCCGGTACAGTACTCCGGGAATTCTGAAAATTGGTTATCTTATGGATTTCGAGGTGCTCTTTTACGAAAATCAACTTTGCCACCTCTAATTTGAACGGCAAGATGCCGCCATATTGGAAAAATGGCGTCAAAAAACAGTTTTTTTTAAAATATCTCCTTTCTGGCTCATTCTACGATAAAAGTATCTATGTACGAATTAAACTAGATAAAATTTCCTACAATTCTTTAGAAAACCGTTTTTTTGTAAAATTGATAGTTTGAGAGTACGGCCGCCTCAAAGTCTTGATACTATTGCTCCCGCCGTAGTATCAAATCTCTCCATATATGACAGCACTTTGAACTTGACCATATTCTCTCTAATAATAAGAAATAAATATTTTCAATGTTAAATTAAGCGAATAAGATCTAGAAATAAAATAATTCAAATATTTTTCTATTTTTTTTGCTGATTTTTTAATACTTCAAGCTACATATTTATAGCTACTTTGCCATTGAAGTGTTAAAAAATCAGCAAAATATAGAAAAATATTTGAATTGAAATAATAGTACGAGAGTATATAACAGTGTTTGTAAATATAATATAATACGTGAATGAGTAATAGTATTTGCGTACATAATAGTACGAGAGTATATAACAGTGTTTGTAACTATAATATAGTACGTGAATGAGTAATTGTATTTGCGTACATAATAGTACGAGAGTATATAACAGTGTTTGTAAATATAATATAATACGAGAATGAGTAATAGTATTTGCGTACATAATAGTACGAGAGCATATAACAGTGTTTGTAACTATAATATAGTACGTGAATGAGTAATAGTATTTGCGTACATAATAGTACGAGAGTATATAACAGTGTTTGTAACTATAATATAGTACGTGAATGAGTAATTGTATTTGCGTACATAATAGTACGAGAGTATATAACAGTGTTTGTAAATATAATATAATACGAGAATGAGTAATAGTATTTGCGTACATAATAGTACGAGAGTATATAACAGTGCTTGTAAATATAATATAATACGAGAATGAGTAATAGTATTTGCGTACATAATAGTACGAGAGTATATAACAGTGTTTGTAAATATAATATAATACGTGAATGAGTAATAGTATTTGCGTACATAATAGTACGAGAGTATATAACAGTGTTTGTAAATATAATATAATACGTGAATGAGTAATAGTATTTGCGTACATAATAGTACGAGAGTATATAACAGTGTTTGTAACTATAATATAGTACGTGAATGAGTATTTGCGTACATAATAGTACGAGAGCATATAACAGTGTTTGTAACTATAATATAGTACGTGAATGAGTAATTGTATTTGCGTACATAATAGTACGAGAGTATATAACAGTGTTTGTAAATATAATATAATACGAGAATGAGTAATAGTATTTGCGTACATAATAGTACGAGAGTATATAACAGTGCTTGTAAATATAATATAATACGCGAATGAGTAATAGTATTTGCGTACATAATAGTACGAGAGCATATAACAGTGTTTGTAACTATAATATAGTACGTGAATGAGTAATTGTATTTGCGTACATAATAGTACGAGAGTATATAACAGTGTTTGTAAATATAATATAATACGAGAATGAGTAATAGTATTTGCGTACATAATAGTACGAGAGTATATAACAGTGTTTGTAAATATAATATAATACGAGAATGAGTAATAGTATTTGCGTACATAATAGTACGAGAGTATATAACAGTGTTTGTAACTATAATATAGTACGTGAATGAGTAATTGTATTTGCGTACATAATAGTACGAGAGTATATAACAGTGTTTGTAAATATAATATAATACGAGAATGAGTAATAGTATTTGCGTACATAATAGTACGAGAGTATATAACAGTGCTTGTAAATATAATATAATACGCGAATGAGTAATAGTATTTGCGTACATAATAGTACGAGAGCATATAACAGTGTTTGTAACTATAATATAGTACGTGAATGAGTAATAGTATTTGCGTACATAATAGTACGAGAGTATATAACAGTGCTTGTAAATATAATATAATACGCGAATGAGTAATAGTATTTGCGTACATAATAGTACGAGAGCATATAACAGTGTTTGTAACTATAATATAGTACGTGAATGAGTAATAGTATTTGCGTACATAATAGTACGAGAGTATATAACAGTGTTTGTAAATATAATATAATACGAGAATGAGTAATAGTATTTGCGTACATAATAGTACGAGAGTATATAACAGTGTTTGTAACTATAATATAGTACGTGAATGAGTAATGTATTTGCGTACATAATAGTACGAGAGTATATAACAGTGTTTGTAAATATAATATAATACGAGAATGAGTAATAGTATTTGCGTACATAATAGTACGAGAGTATATAACAGTGCTTGTAAATATAATATAATACGCGAATGAGTAATAGTATTTGCGTACATAATAGTACGAGAGTTATAACAGTGTTTGTAACTATAATATAGTACGTGAATGAGTAATAGTATTTGCGTACATAATAGTACGAGAGTATATAACAGTGTTTGTAAATATAATATAATACGCGAATGAGTAATAGTATTTGCGTACATAATAGTACGAGAGCATATAACAGTGTTTGTAACTATAATATAGTACGTGAATGAGTAATAGTATTTGCGTACATAATAGTACGAGAGTATATAACAGTGCTTGTAAATATAATATAATACGCGAATGAGTAATAGTATTTGCGTACATAATAGTACGAGAGCATATAACAGTGTTTGTAACTATAATATAGTACGTGAATGAGTAATAGTATTTGCGTACATAATAGTACGAGAGTATATAACAGTGTTTGTAACTATAATATAGTACGTGAATGAGTAATAGTATTTGCGTACATAATAGTACGAGAGTATATAACAGTGTTTGTAACTATAATATAGTACGTGAATGAGTAATAGTATTTGCGTACATAATAGTACGAGAGTATATAACAGTGTTTGTAATATATATAGTACGTGAATGAGTAATAGTATTTGCGTACATAATAGTACGAGAGTATATAACAGTGTTTGTAAATATAATATAATACGTGAATGAGTAATAGTATTGCGTACATAATAGTACGAGAGTATATAACAGTGTTGTAACTATATATAGTACGTGAATGAGTATTTGCGTACATAATAGTACGAGAGCATATAACAGTGTTTGTAACTATAATATAGTACGTGAATGAGTAATAGTATTTGCGTACATAATAGTACGAGAGTATATAACAGTGTTTGTAACTATAATATAGTACGTGAATGAGTAATAGTATTTGCGTACATAATAGTACGAGAGTATATAACAGTGTTTGTAACTATAATATAGTACGCGAATGAGTAATAGTATTTGCGTACATAATAGTACGAGAGCATATAACAGTGTTTGTAACTATAATATAGTACGTGAATGAGTAATAGTATTTGCGTACATAATAGTACGAGAGTATATAACAGTGTTTGTAAATATAATATAGTACGTGAATGAGTAATAGTATTTGCGTACATAATAGTACGAGAGTATATAACAGTGTTTGTAAATATAATATAGTACGTGAATGAGTAATAGTATTTGCGTACATAATAGTACGAGAGTATATAACAGTGTTTGTAAATATAATATAATACGTGAATGAGTAATAGTATTTGCGTACATAATAGTACGAGAGCATATAACAGTGTTTGTAACTATAATATAGTACGTGAATGAGTAATAGTATTTGCGTACATAATAGTACGAGAGTATATAACAGTGTTTGTAAATATAATATAGTACGTGAATGAGTATTTGCGTACATAATAGTACGAGAGTATATAACAGTGTTTTGTAACTATAATATAGTACGTGAATGAGTAATAGTATTGCGTACATAATAGTACGAGAGTATATAACAGTGTTTGTAACTATAATATAGTACGTGAATGAGTAATAGTATTGCGTACATAATAGTACGAGAGTATATAACAGTGTTTGTACTATAATATAGTACGTGAATGAGTAATAGTATTTGCGTACATAATAGTACGAGAGTATATAACAGTGTTTGTAACTATAATATAGTACGTGAATGAGTAATAGTATTTGCGTACATAATAGTACGAGAGTATATAACAGTGTTTGTAAATATAATATAATACGTGAATGAGTAATAGTATTTGCGTACATAATAGTACGAGAGTATTATAACAGTGTTTGTAACTATAATATAGTACGTGAATGAGTAGTATTTGCGTACATAATAGTACGAGAGTAATAACAGTGTTTGTAACTATAATATAGTACGTGAATGAGTAATAGTATTTGCGTACATAATAGTACGAGAGTATATAACAGTGTTTGTAAATATAATATACGAGAATGAGTAATAGTATTTGCGTACATAATAGTACGAGAGTATATAACAGTGTTTGTAAATATAACGTAGTACGTGAATGAGTAATAGTATTTGCGTACATAATAGTACGAGAGTATATAACAGTGTTTGTAACTATAATATAGTAAGTGAATGAGTAATAGTATTTGCGTATATAATAGTACGAGAGTATATAACAGTGTTTGTAAATATAATATAGTAAGTGA